ATATATATACAAGACGTATAGGGCGACTCAATGCAGTTTTGAACTGGGCAAGAGACCCCGCCTCCGCCACACCAGGCTCAAGTTCGTTCCACTCTTGATGAAGAGGGTTACAAAAGTATCAGCTGTAATGGGGATTCTTGTCTGTTGAGACACGAATGGGGATCAGCCTACTGGATTATTATTGCCTACGTAATCAGCTCAGATAACAATATTTCTTTAGATCGTTCCGACGCGAAGATATTTCCCTTTTTTAGGTCAACCAAGTTCAGAACGAACTATGTAACAGGTCAGGGCGATCTGAACGCCATGTAACTGACCTGAGGGGACCATGTACTGGAAAGGTATATAAGTGAGAACTTCGTGCACTTGTGTCATTAGCCTCTGTACACTTGAAGAAGCTACACAGGCGAAACCGGTCGTGTGACAGGCTGAATAAAAGTTCTAAACAGGAACTATATGCAGCTCCAGGTGTCTTACTGAGGGACGACTGCGTGTGCGAGATGTCGGTTAGCTTGAGGAATGAATCCCCTCTACTATATACTGCATATTTCCCTTTCTTTTAGTTTGGATAGAGGACACGTGCCGTGTAACATGCAGTGGTCCAACGCCCACCGTATCGACCCGACCAACGGCGGAAAGTGCATCCACTTCACGGCGGCATCAGAGGGAGACATCTTCGTGGTGTTCGCCGGAATTCCTCGCGATCATGAGACCTGGCTGACCGTGGAGATCTCTCCAGACGGCGTGGCTTTGTACAAGGTATAAGGCACTAAGCTGTCATTCTCTTATTGTACCTGATATATAAAAAATGACTTTTACTTCAGCAAGTGTCGCGTATAAGAAACTGAGGAAGCACTCTTTGGCGCACATCGGGCACTCAGTGTTTTAATGTGACTACTGCCATTGACTCCGTGTACACAATTGTGGTAACCCCATAGAATTTTTTGTTAAACTTCTGGAATGTGTGCGATGCAAATGGCTCTGTATCGGTATCGATATATATACAAGTATAACCGCCCTTCGGCGTAATACACCAGCAAACTTTTCCGAATAATACATGGTTCTAAATACAGTCAAACCTGCCAGTGTGACCACTTCTTCAAGCTGGCCACCTGGTCATGGTGACCGCTTTTTCTAGGTCCCAAAAAATTTCCCCATTGCCATAAGCATTAAGCAACCTGTCCAAGGTGACCACCTGGCCAACACGACCGCCCTGAGTTGGATCCGCTCAAGGCTCGATACCTGTCCATGGTGACCACGTCATTTTCGATCATGTTGATTATTGATGCTATCTAACTAATGAGAAATCATGGAGAAACCAGCCACTTTGCCTCGGCTGCTGGATGATACTTTTATTCGACGTAAATTGTTCCATGTGCCACCCTTCCAATATGCATTCACCACAGAACTGAAGATGCATACAGGACTTAACATTAAAACATCTTGACTTGGAAACCATTATGCCTCAGTCATGTTGTGAGGTGACTCTCTTCAAGCAGATCACCTGTCCAATGTGACCACTTTTCTTTGGTCCCCTGGGTGGCCGGCTTGTACAGGTTTGACTGTAAAGAAGTTACTCCAGGAAGCTACTAGTAAAATGTTCTTACTAAAGTTCTTTCTATCACAACCATTTACTTTTCAAGCCAACGATTCGATGACCTTCTGTCATCTTCATCAGGGCAATACTGACCGGTTTACTGTGCACTGACACTAGATGTTGCTTGATGCATAGTGCACTAAAGGTGTTACATATTTCATAGTGCACTTAACCCTCAACAGAACACCTTCCCGGACTGATTAATCTGTACACCTGGGGTCCGCGCGGACCCCAGAACAGTTTTTTGCTAATTTTTAGAAATCATCAACATGCTACCAGCTCAATTGTTTTGCAAACTGATGTAGGAACCTCTGTGTCCACATTACATACAAAAATCATACATTTTGAACTTTTTCTATTTTTTGGCGAAGAAAAGAAGACAAGAAGAAATACCCGATTTTTAAACCCATTTCAGACTGAAGGGGCTTTTGAGGCCCAACTTTGATCTCAGATAGCGGCTAAACGGCTTGCGCTAGAAGTATCAAATTTGGAGACCTTTCCTAAAATGTCTCTGGAAAAGAGTTCATATTAGTTTAATACTAGTAAGTTGATGTTTTTTTGTGTTGCCATGGCAACGGGTTTCTAGCAGGCAGTTTTTTTTTAAATAGAAGTAATTTTGGTTTAAACATAAAAATTTTCTGAGTTTTATATTAAATTACACTTTATTTTCCAACATTAATAACATCTTACATAATTAAATATAAGTTAATTCATTTAATATGCATAGAATATGCTAATTTGATGACGTCATTGGTCAAAATCCAATATGGCGGACTATATTATTAGCTCTGACGTCATATGACGTGATAATTACACCAAAGTTATTAAAATTTAATTCTATTACTACACCATTCTCTGAAAACTTGGTAGACATACGATGAGTGCATAAAAACATATAAAAACGGAAATAAGGTAATGTATAAGAACGCCAGTGTATCCATTATGATCGAAAGCCGGCTGGGGTCCGCGCGGACCCCAACAGAAAATCAGATATAATTTTTTTTATAAAAGGTAGAAACGGAGTTTTCTGCACTGTATTGAGAGACAACTTTGTGGGTGACAATTACCTAAAATTTCAGAAAAAAATCTTAAGAAACAAAAAAATATTACAGAATATATAGTGCTGGGGTCCGCGCGGACCCCAGGTGTACTGTTTAGGGTTAAGCTAGTTTTGTCTGTTTACAATGTGCACTATGCACCAAGCAACATCTAGTGTCAGTGCACAGTAAACAAGTCAGAATTGCCCTGATGAAGATTACAGAAGGTCATCGAAACGTCGGCTTGAAAAATAAATGGTTGTGACAGAAAGAACTTTGCTATCCAGTCGTTTACCAACCTGATGAAATTATTTACGGATGTTCTTACTCTGTTCAGAACATGCGGCTGGTGGTCACACAGCTAGAGCAGGGCGGGAAGGGTCTTGGGACGGCTCACCTGTACCAGTCCTACTTCGTCTGCGTGACGGAGAACCCGGATGCGGGGACAACGATCGTACAGTACGGCAAGACCCCGGATAACGAGGTACATTGGCAATCATAGGTTTGAGGTCGTGTGGCAGAGTGCTTGACAATCAATCTTCCCAAGGGCACAAGATTGTTGACATGTCAGGACTCGAACCCGGGACCTCTTGGTTCCGAGTCGAGAACTCTGCCGCTACGCCACACGACCCCACTTCAAATGCATTTTTGTCTTGCTGCTGTGCCGCAGTTTTACAACTTACAACTGATCTACAGGAACGGGCCCACGTCTGGCTGGATCACCAATTTGACGAAATGCTGGCCATTCAGTACTACGCGTTCGGAAGCGGCGCTCACCCAGTGAAAGTCATGCGGGTGTCTCGAGTGGATCAGCCCGCCGAAGACTTCATCATTTGTCGTGAAGGAACATCAAAACGGGGCGGAAGGTGTGTGCAGCAGTGTCACGTCGAGTGTGATGGTAAGAGACCCCATGCTGAGTTCATAAATATAACTTTCGTCCCCTTGCACAGAGGAACAGACGGTCGTAATTGTTGTTGTTAAGAATCGACAAGTATAATAAAGAGTATATTAAGGCACTATCCTGATATGTATTAATATATAATTGTGGTACGCCAAATGGCGGTTACATGGCTAATACATATAAAGAAGTTGGCGTATTTTACGTTAATTAGGTACATAATGTACGGACTCGGCAGTTCGGTGGACTTTTCATCGGGCCACAATATGATCAATCTTTAGGGGTTTCCTAGCTACAGAGATTTTATATCTAGGTTGCCGGACCACCGGATCGGATACCCCGCGGGACTGCATCGCCTGCATGAACGTGAAGGTGCCGTTCCCGTACATCGAC